ATATAGGACTTTGAATGTTATGTTTAAGATTTGTACATGCATAATATACAAAGTTTACCTGAAAAGAAATGGTAAATTTGAAAAAAAGCATGTCTTTTAGTTTCCCTAAAATATCATATAGTCTGGCAAACATTGTTTATTAATATATTCTGAGTTAACTAATATATAATTTAAGATAGAGATTTTAAACTGTACCAAATCAAAGTGCTATGTACAATGGTAGCTAAGGAAAGAGAAAATTCTGAATAAACAAAGAATCATTCACTTAGTAAAATGTCACAAAGAAATCAGGGGAGGATATTGAACTTGGCTATTGGATAGTCATTGATAATCATTCCAGCATGGTCTAAAATAGAGTAAGGATAAATTTACGCACTACACAAGAGAGTGCATGAAAGGAAAATTGAGTCATAGTATGTACCTTTGAAGGAAAGTTTATTATTCAATAAGAATAACCCCTCTTTAGTTTTGTTTGTTTTGTACTGGAGAGTGAACCCAGGGGCATTTAATCATTAACCCACATCTCCAGACCTTTTTATTTATTTATTTATTTATTTATTAAATTTGGGACAGGGTCTCACTAAGTTTCTTAGGACCTTGCTAAATTGCCAAAGCTGGCATTAAATTTGTGATGTTACTGACTCAACCTTCTGATTTGCTCAGATTATAGGTGTGTGCTGCTGCACCTGGCTCCCCTCTTCATTTTTTTGTGATATATTATATAAGGCTATAACATGTAGAATTCTAAAGATTGCAGCAAAATGTTGTGTTCCTTTGTTATCAGCCCAGCTATAATCCAGATATTGTCATAGAATGATGGTGCAGATATTATTAAGCCTCCAAGTCAATTTATAAATTATTACATGGTTGAACCTGAGACAGTTAAGCAAACTGACTGCAAATGAAGAGATTTCCCATCTAGTCACAGAAGACAGAAATTCAAAACATGAGAAGAACACATGCTTGTTTGCAGAAGGTGAGGGTCACGGGAGAAGGAACATAGGCCTCCTCTAGGTGGAAGTTACTGCCCCAGTTGGAAACCAGCATGGAAGTGGAGCATGGAAGTGGAGTGTTAACTAGTGCTTTTTTTTTTTAATATCAGGGAAGTAGATTTACCAACAAGAAAAATGAGCTTGAAATCAGATCTGTTCCAGAGCAACCAGGGAAGAGGTCATCCTGGTTGACATATGACTTCAGCATTGTAAGACTTTAGCCAGAGAACCCAGTTGAATCTACCTGGACTTCTTTCCTACAGAATTGTTGCTTTTTTCTGTTACACAACAAAAGAAATGTCATGTAAGCTATCAAATGATTGTGCTGTAGGGTAGATAAAAGAGCATAACATTATCTAAAATGGAATTGTTCTCAAGGTATTTATTTGGAAAGTACTGTTCCCCAAGATCGTGACATGTGATGGTAATACAATGTATTTCCATCTAGCTCCCTAACCACAGCTTACTTATTGAATTTATATTATTGATAGTGTCATCTTTACAACTGTGAAAATAAACTTACATCACAATATTAATTTCAAAAGTAAATAATAAAGTGTACCTGAGATAGCTAAAATACCTGATTTATGCTTGGGCTTAAAGAGGGTCAGCTTTTCCATATGAAAATACTGGAATTAACTTGGCTTTAGAAAGTTGAATATTTAGGTTCATATATTTTATGGGTCTCAATTTACTTACTGAAGTCACCTCTATTTCACAAAGATTTGTTAAAATCATATGTCTGTAAAGGTATCCATATAAGATAATAGTGCTGTTTAGCAATAGAGGGTAAAAATACAGTCCAGGCACACATTTCTGTCTTTGTTCAGCAAAGCAGCTAAACAATCTCTCTGATCTAGAACTACAGGATGGAAGATGTCAGAGACAATGATGACATAATTAGCAGCTCCAATACATCCAGCTCTACCTGAATGGTTGTGTGCTTTTCAATTTTACCACCTTTCAGTACCACACAATACATGTGACACAGGAAAGTTCTTTGCTTTACACAGGAGTGCTTTGCTCTCCTGCCCTCTTAAATATTGGCACATTCCCTCTTCTGCATTTCTCTTATTTGCACAAACCCCTAGGTAGACTGAAAATGTATTGGCAAACAGTAACTACTAAAAGCAATTCCACAGAACACTCAGCCTTTCAGAAACTATTACATTACAAAGATTTTAAAAAATCCAATTTGAAAAAGTGGCAACTAGATTTGTCAAAGCAAAATACACCAGAAAATATTTTGATAGCATGGCTGATATTAAAGTTAAGGTTTATAAACAATTGTACAAAAGAGATTACCCACCAGTGTTAGCAGGTAATTAGGCCAAGCAATAAGTACACGAATGTATACTTTTCTAAAGCAATCTCCCAACACAATGATAAGAGCTTAACTAGTGCTTATTTTTATATACTAGTTTATGATTATGATTAAATTATATTTTAGAAGTGCTCATTGATTTGTTCTCTAAGGTATTTTTTGCCACTGATAAAATTCAGAAAATTACAATTTAGTATACTGTTTTACTTAGTAGATATGAAATAACTCTGTTCTCATAAGATGTTAGCAATATTTTAAAAAAGTTTCCTGAATATATAATTAGGATGTTACTTTAGTAAGAAACAGGCACTGCTTTTAGAAATGATGTCAATAAATAGTTTCATGCTACAGATAAATTAATGTATATTTTATAAATTTGTTTCCACTTGATGCGAATATTATTTCAGCTTAGGTAGTGAATAAGAATTAACCTGAAGTATGGTTATTGATCTAATTACCACGGGAGTTTTTTTATCTTCCCTGTAAGATATTTTCAATGTTTTCATCACTATTTCCTGGACATATTTACCTATTCATTCCTTTTTTTCAACTKATTTTTAATGAATCATTATGTAATAGTCATTAACTGTCCTTGGGTCCCTAAGGACACAAAATTGCCCTCCTAATATGGTTACTTTAGATAAATATTATTTAAAGTGAAAACAAAGGAACCCAACGAAAAGTAATTAGTAACACCTATTGAAAAGTAATTAGTAAATGCTTTCTTTAAAAATTTTGTTAAAAAAATCTAAATGGAAATCACTTGAGCTGATTTTGCAAGTGCAAAAAGTAATATATATATTTACCTGCACATGAAAAGTAGTGCAGGTAAAATGTAAAACATTGGAGAAGCCTAATCATTGATTTTTATGAAACAAAGGGCAATACGATAATTGAAAAACACAGCAAGGTTTACCTTTATACTAACAAGTGGCTATAATAAAAAGGACAGATAATAAAAAGTTTAGGTGATTCTATGAAGTTGGGATCACACTGTTTTGTGGAATGTACAAATGGTGTGGACCCTTGAGGAAAGGCTGGCCATTCATCCAATGTTTAAACTTCAAGTTATCCTGGGACAAAGCAATCCCACTCCTCACTATGTACCCAAGAGAAATGAAGACATGTCCACTTCAAATAATCTCACACTAGTGCTCATAGCAGCATCAATCATACAATGTAAAAATTAAAAACAACACAAAATTCTATCATATAATGAATGAACAAATAAAGTATATTATATCCAAAGAAAGGAATGTTTTTTTGGTAATACAAAAGGACGAAGTTTTGATGACAGAGTACAACATGACAACATGGGTAAACACTGAAATTACTATGCTAAATGAAGTTAACACCAGCCATAAATTATCACATACATATTGTATTTCATAAAAATACCACTAATAGGCCAATCTATGGAAACTAATAGTTGATTAATGGCTTTGTGGGATTGGGGGAGTCTGAGCTGGATGGCTAAGGGATGCAGAATATTGATTTGGAGAACCAAAAAGTATTCTAAAATTTATTGTGGCAAAGAAGGTACACCTTTGTGATATACTGGAAGCTACTAAATTATAGCATTTGAAGAATGAAATTATATTATATGACTTATATCTAAATGAATCTGTGAAAAATATTTAACGTCTTATATTCTGAGTATGACATATTCCTAATCTCCAGCATACCTATGGTTCTGTCATGAAATCTCAGAAATATTTTTAAAGCTTTATATAATTTTTAGAGAGAGAGAGAGAATATTTTAATATTTATTTTTTAGTTTTTTTCGGTGGACACAACATCTTTATTGTTATTTTTATGTGATGCTGAGAATCGAACCCAGCACCCTGTGCATGCCAGGTGAGTGCGCTACCACTTGAGCCACATCCTCATCCCCGAAAGCTTTATATAATTTTTGTATACAATTTCAAATTGCAGGAATTTGGTATTTGTTTATTCCCTCATACATGAAAAAAAATCTATATTCTTATGATCATAAATCATTTTATAAGAGTTTTATTCTAATTTCATTGTAACACAGTCATACCAAAGTTTTCAATTTATTTATAATGATTGATATTTAGGCTTGTATTTTCCTAGACTTAGATGTTTATCACAATGCAATACCCTGGAAGAGGGAAGATACAATTGTCTTGCTAAGCTTTCTCTCAATGCTTTTCTTAAAGAGGTCTGAGAATTGTTATTGAAATTCCATGAGTTATTTTTTTTACATTAAGTACTATAAAAGCTAATTGGAGCTTATATTGGAGTTTCATGTTGACAAAATTATTCAAGTATTTTCTTTTTTTCTGAAACTGCAACATATGAAGTATTTTTCTCAATGGCTTAAGTAATGCATAAATATAAGAGAAAAAAAAAATTCTCACAATTGGCAGGAGAATCAAACACTTTCCACTCAAGGATGAGGGCTGTCCTAGGAATAAAGAAAAAAGTAAAGAGTTTCCTCACCTCATCCAACACTAAGTAAACAAGTGTAACACATCCTGTATCTTCTGCTAGGTTCTCATAGCCAAAAATAAATAAATAAATAAATAAATAAATAAATAAATAAATAAATAAATAAATAAATAAATAAAAAGATGGGAAACCCACTCTCAAGGAAAGCTCTGTATGATACTTGGTGTTCAAGTGACATCTTTCCCTATGATACATAAAGAGCAGTTTACCATTTTCTGAAGCAGCAACTGTGATGTTGTACCATGGAGTTTCTTCTCTGTCAAGAACCTTTGATGTCTTAATGGTTCCAGTATTGGCATCAATGTTGAAAAATCTGTCATATTCAGCCTTGTAATTGATGAAGTACCTGGAGGAAAAACAAAATGTAATCCTTCATTTTTCCTTGAAGCTATAATAGAGAGAAAACACACTGAAAAAGGGAGGTATTAAATCAAGTACATTAAAAAACATAGCTGTACGTTTAATCTTCATATTTGGCTGAATATTTACATAGAAACTTTATTTTATTATAGAACACACAATTATTTTATCTGTTAGTCTTTAAAACTTAGGCTATAATACCACAAGTTATTTTCAAAAATATTTGCTAAATTCTATGAATAAGAGTAGATAATAGAAACACGATGACTTATAAGAGAAAAAAATGCTTTTTGTAGTTCTGTAGTATGTTGGAAGAAAAAATACAAAGATAAAAATTCTTGTTGCTATATGTACAAATAATTTTGAGGTTGCAGCAGATGTCAAAGGAAATTTTTTCTTGGTATTTCTTTATAGTTGAAATTTGGAGATGAATGAAAAACGAAAACCAACACGTCTATAGTTACTACCATAATATGTACAACACTTTGATTGAATCTTTATTTAAAACAAGAAAAAAATATTTCAGGGAGGAATTTGTGTACTAGGTTCCACAGGTTGTCCCACTCCTATTTTTATAATCTTGCAGGATTTTCTCATCCAAGGTTTGGCCTTCAGCTTTCTCCGGAAATAGAATGAGCTGAAAGTGATGGTGTTCTGGTTTCCTGTTGTGCCCTGCCACTTTCATAAGAAAACTATGCCTGGGCTATTGTGCTCATCCCAGCAGTAGATAGAATCATAAAGTGGTGTTGTTGTAGGTCAACTTCTCCAGCCTAGAGCAGAGCACCCTAGAAAGTGTCAAGATACAAGAATGAGTGCAACAGAGATTGGCAGAGCTGGCAAACAAAGGCTAGCACTGTTCATGGTAATTCACAGACACATCTATGACAGTTGTAATAGACATTTTTTAATCTCTGAATCTGTTTTTTTTATTCATTGATAGCTAATTAACATGCATAATAAAAATATAGTAATTAATTATTATTTATTCTAGAAAATTTCTAGATTGTTTCTAAAATTATTTAAGTACATAAATGGTCTTTTCTCTCCTAAAACCTCTAATACCTCTTCCCTCTTCCTTAATCGCAGCTTAAGTTTTATCTAGACAGAAAGTATAAAAATGAAAGGGTTTGTGGAAAGATTTAGAAAAAGAGCATTTGAGATAGAGGGGAGAAAGTAAAAAGATCAAAATTAAATTAAAAGTTTGACTTGAATGCAAAATTACAAATAAATAAATAAATACAAACACCAATGTATATCAATGCAACTATACAGAGCAAAAGACATGGATGCCCAGGTGTTTGGACAAGCAAGACCTATAGCTCGTGGTAAAGAGTCTTTCTCTGTACAAGCAAAGAGAAGAAATTTTAAAAAGAAAGGAAAGACTGATTTATGCTTTTGAAAAATCACAGTGGCTACTTTCAACCTTGTATTGGGAAAATTAAAAACAAGAAAAATGTAATCATCTTGAATGAAGTGAGAAAAATAGAAATGGAAAGAAGTACCTTAAACATTGCGATGTATTAGAGACAGCCTGTAAAACATTTTTTGGAGTGGCATTAGTGAAGGGGAGAAGTTACAGGTATCTTGTTTGCATGTGTATATGGGTGACTGAGTGTTTGTTTTACAATGCAAAAATGGATAGGCCTATTTACTAGGTAGACAAAATTGAATTAAGGTAAAGCAATTTTGGAGAAATCAATTGCTTTGATGTGTTATGACTATGATCCCAATTAGGTTAACATATGGAAAGAAAAACAGAGATCAAATAAGTGTGTGGATTTCAAATGTGCTTTCTGAACAGGAAATATAAAGTTGATGCAAATTAGTATAAATTTAAGGTAATTGGAACAGTATGATACTATATGGAAGAAAATTTTAAGGAGATAAGAAAATCCTGAGACCCTTTTGAGATGAAAGCAACCCAAATTCTGTGTAAGAAAAAAGATTGTCACAAAAGGAAAGGGGCATCCCAAAGAAGGAGGAAGGGACCTAAGGGAACACTAGAGCCAGGAGAAATGAATGTTTCAAAGAAGGAGTGGACAGATGTGGTAAATTCTGTTAAGGAGCCAACTGAGGTTATTAAGTGTTGATCATATTTGACAACTAAATCTACTGCTTAACTTAAGAAGCACAAATCTCAAATAAACTGTCAAAGAATTTGAGTTTTATTACAGCAGATTTAAGAGTTTATTGAATGTGAACATGTAAAGCCCATGAGGCATGACAATTTACTTGAATCATTTTCTGACTAGAAGTCAGTAAAAAGATGCACTGAGTTATCCACAAAGTATGTTTGAAAATCTATTCTTTTCTAGAAGGAAAACATGAAGAATTGACTATACTACTACAGGGAATGGTTATTTTGAGAGGAGACTATCTAAAATGTTCAAACTCATGAGAAGATGAAAATAATAGGGTTCCAAAGTAGAAATTTAGGAATTGCCCATTGAAAATAACATGCACGCTAATTCCATTTTATCATGAAAAAAATATAAAAGTTGTTTGAAAATCTAGAAAAGGTGAGTATGGTAATAGAAATACTACAAAATTCATCATACTTTCTAAAACAGTATAAGCGTATAAGAATATCTTTAATAAAACTCTGTGCCTCTCACAGGTATAATGTGCCAATAGGGTCCACAGAAGCTTCTGCTAAGGAGTAAAATCTTCTAACAACATGTGGGTACACATGCACAAACATGGCAGAAGTTATTAACAAAAGCTAATAGGCTGAAACTATAGACCAAAGAACACCCAAAGAAATTTAGGCACATTTAGTAATAATGACACCTACTAAGTGACAAAATTTATTACTTAAAATTTTGTAATGAAAACAAAATAACTGACCATTGTATATTTATTTTTTCAAACCATAAGAATATATTAATTGAAGAAGTTACCATGTAAAAATAATTTAAACAAATAAAATAATAAGTATAAAGAAAACCTTATTCAGAGACTTTAAATCCAGATGAATTAGTGTAGTAGGAACCCTGCATGTCATTGGGCTTTCCCAGAGTATGAAGGAGTGCTGCACTGAAGCCATTTTTATTTTCTTTGACTTGAGTTCACATCACAAAGAAACCTGACAGTACTTCTTCCTCAGGGGCTTGACGCTAAGGATGAGGGCTGAATAGCTCTGGATATGTTATTTCTTGTCACATGTAAAGGACAACATCCGTCAAAACATAATCAGTTAGCATTCTAGCTATTTTATCAGTTACAGTTTGTTGCCATTAACCTATCTATGATGTCCATTTTTGGACATTGCTGTCATTTTTGGTTACTCTAAGAAAATGTTTCTATTTGAATATCAGAAAAACTAAAATTGAAACAAATTATTCGAACTTGTATTTTCCTCCAGACTATCAAACTCAGATTGTTTCTACTAATGCACTCCTATTTAATGGGCAGAAGACCCATTATTTGAGGATCATGATTACTTCAGATTTATAAGTCTAGAAAAATGGGGGTGTCTTTTATTTATAAGCTAAATGAAGAATCTGAAAATATATAGTGTTCTTTTTTTTTTTTTCCTGAGCAATTTTCTCAGAAACCTCACTCTGGGCTTCTAACATAAGCTCTAACATTAGTGGTTAAGTACCTTTGGCTGTAATAATTTTTTATTTGGATTTTAGAAAACTAGAATCTATGTTTACCTAGTAGAAAATGTTAGGCGTCATGCTGGGCATGTGTCCTCAGATTCATGTTATTTACCTCTTGTTTTGTGTGTGATCTAGCTCTCTCGGGAAATCAACAACACAAGGGCTAGATATCAGGAGGTGTTTGAACTACAGAGTCTAACTCAAGCAGGTGCAATTGAATTCAGACTGAAGTAGCACTGTACTGTTCTGCTTAACTACCCTTGGATTCCTGCCCATCCATGGAAATAAACATTCAGAAATCAGCTGAATGAAAATGTGAGAGAAAAGGAACTCTTTAAAACTATTTTGGTCATCAAATGTAGAATTAGTTAATGCTCATGATTTAGAATTAAGAAATGCCATAAGACTATAAAATTGTATAGTAAACAAATCATTGAAATATTTTAATAGTTTAACTTTCATAATAAATTCATTTGTTTTATAAACTCTCATGTGGAAGCCATCAGTGAAATACATAAAGTCCTTCTCTAGGCATGGAAGCCAGGGAGGAATAGGCCTGGTAGTGGAAACTTCCTGTGGTTCTCCGTTGTTTACAGATCACCCAATGCATGTGACCTTCCCCTCCTCTCTGCTAGAAAGGTTCCTCATAGTTGCACCAGAAATGGGCATAACCCGTAAGGGAACTAAACAGCTCACCTTTAATCTGTTTTGGAAAAGAACACTATAGAATCTCTTTGATGTCTCCTAATATAAATAAAGCAGTCATGGGCTCCATTTTGTCAGAAGCTCGATCTGTCTGGTCAGCTTGCCTGTCCTACCCTCGCTTTTGAAATTACTTTCTGTGTTCTATTTTTTTTTTTTTCTTCCCTAGATTTTAGTTCTCAGTCAGCCCATTGCACTGAGGGGAACGAGATTCCCACTGCCCATGCAAGATGTGGGTGGGACTCTCATAAACACATCTTAAAATCTTCTGAAACTACATTTTAATATTTAGAATTTTTTTTCAAATAACAATATTAATTTAATATTCTCAGTGCTTTCTAGCTTATGTAAAATCATGTAAACAGTTACCTAAATGACATAGAACCTATTTGGGATTAATGATATAAAAATGTGTAATAGGAGTTTTAAGTTTGTTTTTAATTTTAGTTTATAGCTATCAAAATAGATAGTAATACATTGAAGCTAGAAGCAATATAACCAGATAAGACATTAAAAGATATGCTATTTTGTTGAGAAAGTTCTTAAATTGTAAGTACTTATTGTTTAGATCCACTACTGTGGTATACACAGTGGGATCTGGAAGAATGAATAAGACCCTCCCTACAACAAGCATGAACCAGTCTTTTCTAATAAATCTGTAACCGAAATTTATTTTAAA